CTTGTACTTATTGGGAGATCAGGTCTGAGTAATTTCTCAGTCGTAAAACTGAATTTATGTATAATATATTAAAGACAGACTTGTTTCCTTAGAAATCCTTAGTGAGGGATTTTTTGACAGAATCCTGAAGGTGAGATTTCATCTTCTGTATAATATAAACTCACTAAGGATCTCTAATGTCTTTCAAACAGGTCTGTTTAGTGTACTATATACATGCGTATTTTGTCACTCAGAGAGATAGAATTGGATGGATATATGCCAACACGCGTCCACATTTGTAAACAGAATTGGGCGGCTATTTACCGACACTCGACCGCAAAGGGTTAATTATTTAAATAATTGTAGGTTGCTAAGGAACCAAGTATTTGACGTTTGTTTTAAGCGTTCGAGATCCTAGATGGCTTATCGCCTTGAGTGCAGTCGTGATCGACTGAAGATAGGACCGAGATTAAAAATAAATGTATATATTAATTCCTCTGAACCTGATTCCTACAATTTTGGGGGCTCAGCCAGGATTTGATCGAATTTAGGAATCGCTGAGTGAATTAATTAAGCTAGTACAAGTTCCGTTCAGACAGATGATGGTAGTTAATGCGTGTGTGTAACAACGTGTGTGTATCACATAGGTGTGTATCCAAAAAAAAAAGTCGTGTAAAGTACGCGAAAGTGTTTTGCTGCGTGATTTGGACTCTTTCGGCGTGAGCAGACTTTTGATTGTTTGGGAAAACGATGTCCACGACGAAATTGGCAGACGACTTCATAGTAGCTTTCTTAAAGGAGAAGTTTGAGCTTGGGCTTCAGTACGGCTGGAGTGAAGGCGGAATTATTCCTGAAAATGATGGAAGCAGATCCTGCAGGTGCATGGATGAATAACATGATCAGTAAGACACAGGAAAAAATGACCAGTGTGTGTTCAGATGTGTTGAATATGATTTTATTTCAACAATTGATAGACAATACCCCCGAGGGATGATACAGTAAGAACGTGACAACGCTGTCCCTAGGGCACATTTACACAGGTAGTTGGAGACTACTCACGCAGCCCTGCAATACATCGTACACTCGCAGTCACACAAAGGCCGAATTGGCCACATTTCGTTTTAAATAAAGATTGCAGGGTCAGCGGCGTTACGCTCGCTGGCCTGCAATGCGCGATAGTTACTTTCACCCTAAGTCATACGCTGCGGGTACATACTGATGGCGTGTACCCGCCTAAAGATAGAAGAAAAAGGCTGGCGCATCCGCAACAAACTGGCAAAATTACCATAAAAAGAAAGACAGAAATAAACGCATTACAGAAAGTACAAGTAAATATATAAATAAATAAATAATAGATATATAAATAAATAAATAAAACAAAAAAGAGAATAAAATAAGAACGAAAAATGGAGTACAAGAAAAAAATAAAATAAAATACAGAAGTAAAAAGAGACCTAGAGTAAAATATAAAAATATAAAAAAGAAATTAAAATAAGATAAAATACAAAAATAAATAAAACCTAAAATAAAATATAAAATAAAAAAAAGAAGGAAATAAGTTAAGATACAGAAGGAAAAACATAATAAGGAAGAATGCGGGGGCACATAGAAGCAGAGCGGCTAATATACATACCGGCTAATAATATATAGTGGAATTATAAAGTCTGCCTCTGGCACGCGGGCCAAGGCTCGACTTGCAATAGGGACGTACATGGCCGATGTTACGCAAACGCACGCTCCTCGGCAAAGATCGTGGCTCAAGCAGCTATCGATGTTACCGAGCAGGCCACAGTCGTGTCCTCATATGTTTAGACAGAGGCCCTCGGTGACGGGGTGAGGGAAACGCAGTAGCGTACAGATCTCCGAGAACGCGGAACAAAGGAGGTTAATAAGTAGATAAAAGAGTAAAATAAAATTAATTCGTACGTGCAATAATATTGAGTGCTGGTGGAGCTATGGCGGCCTTGAGCCAGCACTCTGTCAGAGAAGGCGTCGACGAGACACGAAGTATTAAAACCGCAGTGAGAATGGAGGAACTATTTCGAAGAGTGGCAAGTATGACTTTATATAGCTATTGTATTCGGTGTATTGATTATTGTACTTACGAAGGGGTGTGCCCGTAGAACTATTGTATTACCGGTGCGTTATTTTCATGCTGTTTGACATCAGAAAAGAAGTATGTAGTGAGAATGTTCCAGCCCCACCGGCGTGCAGGTGTGCGCTTCAGAACCAACAGTCGTTAAGGGCCCGAGGTTAACTGCGCTGCTATGGCCTCGGAGACATTTACTGTTGCGATCTGACTGTGAAGTGGCAGTGCTATTACTTGTATGCGTGGACGCGATCGCCGACGTGCTCACGGAAGGCGCCGTTTCTTGCGCGGCAGACTCCTGCATGCTATACTGTCGGATACCTGAAACATGTGCAACGTATATGTCCCGGGACCACGCGATTGTTTCCAAGACCATAAGCTTCCTCATCAGTGACGCGTATTCTGATGAGATACTTCCAAATATGGTCCTTGTGAAGGTGCCAGGCGCCCAGGGTGCCTACAACGAAGCCGTCGACATAGACGACGTGACCGCTTCTAGTTAACGCGTCCGCGAGTGGCTGATACTTTTGTACTTTTTCTAATCTCGCCTTGAAATTATTTTCGAACGGCACGGTCACGTCTACCATGATGAC